AAGACGTCCCTGAAGTCTCGGTAGCACTCAGGCACCATCTCCTCGAAAGGCTTTTCCCCTGGGGTGGGGTCCTGCGCTCTTTGGGCCATCCGCTGCGATGGGGTGGTGGTCGCCCTCAGGTCGTGTCCCCATCCTGGGGGGATCACGGCTGCATACAGTCCATCCCCGGGTTCTACTGCAAGGTCAGGCTCCTTCGGAGCTATTGGCGCCACCCTGAGCCTTTGGCAGGCAGGTGGGCAGCAGGACATGATGACCTTTTGTCGGGCCCAGTCCACTTCCGGGTTGTGGTGTGTCAACCACAAGTGACCAATAATGACTGACTGGCGCCCCAAGTTGGTCACTGCAAAGCGAGCTCGCTCCGTGTGTTGACCAAACGTAAGGAGTGCGTCCACCTCCTCCGTGATGGATCCATTCTCATTTGGGGTGCCATCCACATTGTGGACCGGGATTGGTTGGGGTAGGGGGGTGGTCTCCAGGCCATGCTTCCGGACGAATTCACGACTGACAAACATCCCTGTGGCCCCTGAGTCTAGGAGGGTGGAGGTGGTCACTGAGGCGAGAGAGGTGGTTGCAGTCAGCTTCACCAGAAGGTTGAGGGAGCGAGGAGGGCGTTTGGATAGTACGTAGATCGTGGGTGGGGGAACAGCAACCTCAGCCGAGGCGCATTGTGGGCTCTCTCTGCGGGGTTTTGTGGGTGTGGCTCTTTTTTTCTTAGCGATCACTCGGTGTAACTTAGGTTGCGCTGTAGTCCTGGAATTGCCATGGTATCTACATGCAGGTACAGTGACGCTGGGGGACGACCGGGGCACATCCCTCACCGGTCGTCCTCCTGAAAATCCTCAGCAGGTCTCTCCTCCCCCGCTTCCTCCTCTGCACGGTCCAGCTCCTGGGTGAGGGGCGGTCCTTTAGCAGGTCTGCGATCGCCCGGAGGTCTTCCGGGGCCAGGCGGGTCATCTCCCTAGGGGCCTCCCCTTGTAATGTGGTCCGGGCCTGATAGGGTCTCGGCCTCAGGCAGTCTCGGGCTATGTGCCCTAGCCGATTGCAGTTATAGCAGGGTCCAGTGCGCCTCTGCTCGGTCCTGGGGGGCGGATGCGGTCCAGGTCCATGGGTTGGGGGCCGACTTTCGGGGCTGGGGCTGAGGGTGTGGATGCAGCGGGAGGGGGAACGGGCCCGGGAGGAGGTCGGGAGTGAAATGGGGATGGCTTGACAGCCAGGGGGCGGGCTTGAGCTTGGGTGGCTTGGAATTGTCACCACTGATTGTCAAGGAGGGAGGCTTCACGCTTCCATTCTGCCCATGTCGTGGGCATGGGCCGGAGGCGATAGATGTTTTCGCGAAGGCGTGGGTGAAGGGCGTGCTCAAATCGGTCCACAAGAGCAACATCTCCCATTCGTGACACTGGGCCATGCAGCTCAAACTGCTGGATCAGCTTGTCTACTGGCTCATTCCCTTGTCGGAGTGAGGCAAGCTTTTGACGGGCTGTGGCTTGTCGGTTTGGGTCTGCAAACATAGAATCGAGTTCCGCCGCAAAGTCATCAAAGGAAATGGCTGGGGCTCCTGGGGCAAGGAGGGTGTTGATGCGTTGGGTGGCCCATGGTCCGGCAGTCCCTCCTTTCATGTATGACAGGACAAACAGGACTTGGCTGTGTTCGTCCGGGAACTCGGCATGGCGCATGCTCATGTAGAGTCCACACTCTGCCTTGAAGCGGTCTAGGTCATCTTGTGACCCAGAGAAGGGGGTAGGGGTGGCTACTTTGGGTGGCTTATGAGCCGGAGTGGGTGTAGGGGCTGGGGCTGGGGCCGTGGGTCTGGTCTGGGTGGCCAGTTGGGCTTGGAGATCTTGGAGCTGGCGGGTCAGCTCCGCTATCTGATCTTCCAGCGACATCGGGGGGATAGAAGTAGGTTGAACCCTTCTTCTGCTGTCAGGGCTCGGTCCTCAATCAGGGACAGCCCGACCTCAGTCCTAGGTGTGTGCGGTGTTCCGGGTGGTTGGGCGCTAGACCCTGTCCTCAGCTCCTCAAACTCACTGAAGGGACTAAGCAGGGATTGAGTTGTCATGTATTACAGAGGGTAACTACAACTTGCCTAAGCGGGGATTGAGTTGAGAAGAAGGGTAAGTTTCCCTATTCCCCGCTTGGCTACTATAAAAGGGAAGTGTACTGTACAGTTCATAACGTGATTCTGGGTAGAAGCCAAGCATGTTCCCGCGACTCGGAAAAGGTGTCACATGGGTTAAGGCGAGTTGCTCGCCTTAACCCACGTGACTTTTCCTGCGGGCTCACATGCGGGTTGAAGTTGTGAGAGGTATGTAGGGATGGGGAGGTCTGGGAAGGTGGTTCTGGGGTGTGGTTGGGTGCCCTGACAGCGGGGTCAGGGGCCGATCCCTGACAGCGACGGAGCAGGTCGGGACTCATACTGACTTGTTACGTTGTGCTAGAGTTGGGCATGAACTTCACGTGAACCGCGTGGACCAAAGTTCATGAACTTTCAGGGTCCAAGGAGGGTCACATGAATCGTTTGTGAACCGTTCACAAACCATTCATGAACATTAGGTTACCAGTCCAAGTATATAATAATAAGTTTGCTGTGAGGCGATGTTATAGCCCGCTGGAAGGTGCAACACAGGCTGTCCCGGTGATCTTTATCTGTTAGGCTTAATTCACGTCGATGAGGTATTACACTTCCGGTGAGTTCAACATGCTCTCGGTGATGGTAGGCATTGCTCTCATCTGTCATGGAAAACAAGAGTTATTGGTGCAATCCATGGCGCTATTGATGTAGTCAGAATTCAAAAAAATCTAATGGGTTATGTACCGTGCCCTCTTCCCTGGTGAGACATGAATACTATCCTCACCAGCAGGGCGCTTTCTCAACTCCTTCCTCTGGGCTGCAGCTGCTGCATCGGCATCCCGGAGACACTGGGCTATTTCTCCCAGCTCGGGCAGTAAGCCAGCTTTATGCCATGAACATAGGAGGAGACCAGCGCAGAAAGATTCATCTGAAAGGCGAGTGCGAAGCTTACCCAGCATAAGTGTGCATGCTGAGAATGCCCTCTCCGAATCAACAGATGTTGCTAATGACAACAAGTAAGTGAGGTTGAACCTTCAATCTCAGCACATACCGGGGACAATCAGATAGTCAATCGCCATGTGGGACAGGTTAGGATAGTCGGCTTTCTGATCTAGCCACCAGCGAATAGGGTTGGGACATTGGACACGTGGGACTGGTTTCAGTCTGAGGTACCGGTCTAGCTCATCATCCATATCATCGTCATCTTCACTGTCGAGGTTGACAATAACAGTTGTAGATTTATAGGGCTGATACAAGTAGACCAAATCAGCACATAGCTTGAAAGATAAACTGGACATACATTCAGAGGTGGTTCAGTTTCATGTGAATCCTCCAGACCAGGCATCGGGGAGGCCTTTGGCTCTGGCTTTGGCTTGTAGGTTATAACCCACCGGTGACGGAGTTTATTAAGAGGCATCTGCTTCCATTCTTCAGCCCAGCCAACATTCTTCTTAAACCAGCGGTATGTTTTTGTCGGTGTGAGTACTGTATGGGATGGGAGGGGATAAATAATACAACCATTTACAGCCAAAGAGTACGCACTTGTTGCAATCGGATATACCGTATCAGCAAAAAATTGTTATGCTCCTGAGTGCTCTGGAGTATCGAGAGCACTGGGAGAATCAGGAGGAGATTGGCTGGTCCAGGAACAGCCCATTTCCTCCGGAGTTGGCTAGGTACTCCAGGACACTTCCAGGAGGGCCTGGAGCATTGCTTTGTGCACAAACATATCCAGTAAATACAATTTAAATGCTTCAAAGTGTATAGGGGTGAGAAGCTTCTGGGAGCTCCTGGAGCATTTGAAAATGAAAAGGAAAAAAAGAGGGAAGATCCCCCATGAATACCTCCTACCACAAGACTAACACAACAAGACACTGCTTAACATTTAGATCAAACACTATACTGTATATCAAGGACACTGAGACTCACCAATACACAATCAAAATTTATGGCCTGATATATGATTAATCTGGCAACTTAATCACTTTCGGGCTGGCAGAATATGGGGGAGGGGGAAATGAGGGGGAGAATGAGGGGAGAATGAGGGGGGGAATGAGGGGGGAATGAGGGGGGAATGAGGGGGAATGAGGGGGGAATGAGGGGGGGATATAGAGGGAAATGAGGAAAATTTGAAAAATAGGGACTTCTAAAAAGTTGAAAAAAATAATTAGGGAAAAAATCGAAAAAATTCAGGAACTGTAGTGCCTTTGAAGTGCTTTCAGGATATATAATTATTTGCAAAATCAAGGAAGAAATGATGGAGAAAAATGGAAAATACTTTCGGAGACCCGAGAAATAATGAGAACTGAATTGATGGGAAAGTCTGAAAATTGAATAGGGAAGTGAGGGGAAGCCTTGTAGCATTGTTATTTTCTGCTGTTCTAATTTTTCCTGATTCTCACTCCCAGCTGCTACTGGATACTCCTGGATACTCCTGGAAGCTCCTGGGAGGGTCCAGGAGCAGCTAATGGAAAATACTTTTGGAGACCCAAGAACTGAATTGATGGGAAAGTCTGAAAATTGAATAGGAAAGTGAGGGGAAACCTTGTAGCATTGTTATTTTCTGCTGTTCTGATTTTTCCTGATTCTTCTTGGTCTCATTCCCAGCTGCTCCTCAATACTCCAGGAAGCTCCTGAAAGCTCCTGGGAGGGTCCAGGAGCAGCTGGGAGTGAGACCAAGAACAATCAGGAAAAATCAGAACAGCAGAAAATAACAATGCTTACAAGGCTTCCCCTCACTTTCCTATTCAATTTTCAGACTTTCCCATTAATTCAGTTCTCATTATTTCTCGGGTCTCCGAAAGTATTTTCCATTTTTCTCCATCATTTCTTCCTCAATTTTGCAAATAATTATATGTCCTGAAAGCACTTTAAAGGCACTATAGTTCCTGAATTTTTTTTGATTTTTCCCTAAATTTTTTTTTTCAACTTTTTAGAGACCAAAATTTTCCTCCCACTGCTCCTGGCACATTACATACTCCTCACCACTCCCAGCTGCTCCTGAACCCCCTCCCAGGAGAACACTATTGGCTCCAGGAGTGCCCAATCTGCTGTTTTGTCTCCCACATGCTCCAGCCACTCTTGATGCTCCGGAGCATAACGGACTTTTGCTGATGACTTCACATTCATCAAGCTTGTTGTAATACTTTCCAAGTATGAATAGGGCACGATTTGCGCCAATTCGCACAACCTTATCCAAGTTGACATCATTGCGAGCTTTGTCAAGTGACACTTCAAGTTCTTCAAAAGCTTCGTAAATTTCCGCTACCTCAAATGTAGTAGATGCGTCGAATTTTTTGATGAGGGCATCAAACAACTTGAGGCTTCCATAAGTATCAGGTGCAAAGGATTAATGATGCACTCACATTAAGTATATTCTTTAACCCGTTAAGCTGATCCCAGTCCATCGGTGAGAGATGATAAGCTTCACAACCATGCTGTGGCACAGACGTAAAATCATCAATTGCATCCTTGAGCATTTGGTGCCAGGCAAGACAGTTGTATTCCGACCCCCACCGTGTTGGGACTTTAGTGATGAGACGTCGTGCTGAGGATTCAATTTGTCCCTTTAAACCCAGGATAATATGCTCAAGCCCCTCAAGTAGCTGAATCGAATGATTCACTTTTGAAGCGAGCTTGGAGGGCTGTGGTGGCATGAGTAGGGGTTCAAGAGTAAATAAAAGAACTGCTCACAATGTCCATAATTCGTGATGCGCTCTTGTGCTCGGCATCAGTGCATTTGATCCCAAACTCCTCCACAAATGTGGTATCCGCTTCAGCTGTGAGAGTCCACACCTTCCTTGAGAACTCGTTGACTGCTAGATCAACAGCCGCAAGCTCAGCAGCAGTCAGTGGCTCGCCATCAAGTTCCATGGGAAATTCAGTATTGGCTGCCAAGCCGACATCAATGTCATCAAGGCTAGCTGCAGCCTCAAATGGACAATCCTCATGGGGAGTATCTTCGAAATCTTCGGTTTCACTAGCGGAGTCCTTGGCCACTGCGGACTTTACCTTTGTTGTCTTCTTGGTAGCCTTTGGTTTTCTGACCTTTTTGGGATAGAATGTGGATAGCATTGTTACAGGAATGGGTTCCGGGGAACCCAACCTGAGCCGTTCTGCTCACGGACAGGAGTGGCTGCATAGCTGTTGAAGGGAGAGCAGGAGGAGATCTGAGACTGGGTGTACCAACGGTAACTTGGTGCTCCGAGGAGCGTACTGGCAGCGGGTGTGGTGTCATGCTAACGGTAACTTGGCACTCCGAGGAGCGTACCGGCAGTGGGTATAATGGGGGCTCCTTGAGGGAGCCACCTAACAGTTGGCTAGCGGCAACTTGGTGCTCCAAGGAGTGTACCGGCAGCAGGTATAATGGGGACTCCTTGAGGGAGCCATCTAACTGTTGGCTAGCAGTGACTTGGCGCTCATGTGAGCGTACCAGTAGCGTGGGTAGTTGGCACTCCTTGAGGGAGTAGCCCAGTGGTTGTCTATCGGTTACTTGGCACTCAAGGGAGCGTACCGGTAGCGGGATTTGTTGGGACAGGCAGGTTGGTTGGCCAGTGCATGGTAGTGAGTGACTGTGGGAATTTGGGCCCAGGGGTACGTGGCCAGGCATCCTGGGGCTGCCTGGGTCACTTCTCCCTCCCAAGAAGGGAGGAAGGGTTGTAGGACCCAGTAGGGTACTACAGGAAGGATAGGAATGGGAGCTCAACCACCCAGTGGGGGGTGGGAGCAGGAAGAGTGAGGTCCGGTGTCTGAGCACTCACCGGGCCGTTGAGGTTTTCTCACAGATTGTAAGAATATCGATGTAGACATCGATATGGACCAAGTCAGATGTTACAGAGAAGGCTTACAGTGGTGGCACAATGGTATGGCAGTTACAATTGCAGTACAAGGTTTTGTGGGTTATGTATTAGATAAGGAAAAGACATTTTTCGGCATCTGCCTTACACATCATATGACTTCTAACTATCTAATATAAAAGTCATAATGGTCAAGGGAAGTCCCTTGAAACTCAACAAATCCCCCAGCCAGCACCAAAACCCGGTGGGAAAGCTTGGCATGGGGTTTGATGGAGAAGTAAAATGGGGAAGGTCCTGGGTCCATCTGCTTGCAACCATGGACCATAAGATTCTAGCCTATATCTATAACAAGCATTGCCTATGAAAGCAAAGCTTTAGATGGGATCCAAATAATTATACTGCAGAACAACACCTTTGCCATGAGATTAAGGCTGTGATCGAAGCAGCGAACATGCATAGCCCTGCCTAAAAGTCCGTGAATAATTTTAGAGAGCTCCACTATCATGACATCATTCACTGTTGCATTGTCTGCCGTCACCACCCCAAGCTGCATGACACATTAGCCATTCACACCACACTGCATTTCATTGATTCACTTACACGCTCTTTTAAGCTCCAGAACTCCAAACATTCAGCCAGGGCAACTGCAAGGTTCTTTCCGGAGTGTTTTCCGCGAAGCCTTGATCAGTTAGTTGGCCCGCAAGTGAGGAAGTTAGGGAAATGAAGTTACCAGACATAATCCAGTACAAATGATGTAGGCAGATCTTTGGCTTCCTCCAGCATGACCACTGTAACTGTCATATCCATACAATCCCGACCTCCGCTCCGGGCTCCCGGAACTCCGAACCTGACTTCCGGAGTCCTACTTCCCTTCCGTCACCTTCTCCTTGCCGACTCCCAAGAGGTTATCCCACCTCTGGCTCGGACACCACCTTCAGTCCGACTCCAGAACATTCCGGGTCCGACCCCAACCTCGACACCTTCCAGACGAGTACGCAAAACCTATGCTCCTGACTCTGGACCTCCGCTCCGGAATCCCGTTTGCATCTCCGTCTCCAGAACCTCCGGTCTTAGCTCCGACCTCGGACTTTGACCCCACCTCCACTTATACCCATTGTATTGGTTAGCTCATTCCATTTAATTGCCTTTGCCAATATTCCGGAGTTTAACTTCCGAGTTCAGACTTTCCGGACTTACCTCGGACCTTGCAACTATTGCATTGTCCTATTCAATTCCGCTATACTCCCTCATTCCTATTTGGGCTGCTGCTTCCTTTCTATTCAATCAGCTAGCCATTCCCCACTCCCAACCTCCTTCCTTCCTCCTTGGGTCTTGGCCCTTCATTCCTCCTTTGAGAAACACCATTGAGTCAAAACCCTTGACCCTCAGTGTTGTTCCTCTTTCCATCTCCCTTTGTCTCCTTTTGTCCTACCCTCGCTCCTTTTGATTCCGGACCCCTCCTTATATACAATGTACTTAGTAACTTGTAACCTCAGTCCGAAATCGACATGAATTCCCCCAAGAGACTTTCCCTCTGCTAGATCCGAAATTAGGGACCCCTAGGACAACCAGCAATGGCACAGCGCTCCGCCTGAGTCGCTGAGGCCGAGGTCCTTCCACGCTAAGTCTCCGATTCCATTCCGGAGTCGTCCGAATCTGCCCGATTCTAACAGTAACAGCCTTCCATGCTGATCCAAGTTTCCCAGACCATTCGTCAGTTGTGCAATGAATTTTGCTGAATGAGCAATTCTAAATCAAGCTCTTGTCAGTTTCCGAATGGCTACACAAACCATTGTTATACAATCTTGGAGCTTAGCTTGTACCGTGCGTAAGTATGGATAGTTTTAATATCCTCACTGACAGTCTTCCGAGATGGGGGAGTAGTGCCTCCATGAAGTCCCACATCAGCTTCAAACTTTCATGTAGAAGACAGCTGCACATACCCGGACGTAAATGCTCAACCTCCATCCTATAGAACTCATCTTCTGATGAAACGAATGGTCTATTCGAAACCGCACATTTCAGGGCAATAAGCATGTGGTGGTAGTGTTGATCAAATTTTGCCGCAGTAGTTTTGCATGGGGTTTTCAGGGGCGAGATGGCACCAAGATGAGCCGCATTGCATTTCATAGCCTTCTGTTTGAGCTTATCTGTGGACATGTTCACACGTTTCTGCACATGGCGGCAACCAGGATGACGTGACTTGCAAACATGAGAATACAAAAAATGAGCTGGTTCCGTGCCTTTGGCTGGAACCTGCGAGAGTGTTTGATTGAAGTGAGTGTAGTATTCACTCCGGCACCGGTGTCTGTCATATGCTTCGAAAATAGTTTAGCTGCAAATGTGAATGCAATGAGGAAAGGACGATGTTGACACACCTGCAACTTTCGCATCGCTCCAGCCCAACTGCATAGCCTGTTTTAAAGATAAAAAGGCTATGATGCATAAGATTCTCAGACTCATACAAGAGTTCTAGAATTGAATCATACCTATGACGCGTAAGATTCTGCGTCAACATGTACATAGTTAGAAAAGTGTTGTTAATAATAAAAACTATAGCTCTCACCTCAGACTCGTACAAGAGTTCTGAGGGAGAGGATCTACAGAGAGAGCGCTCTTTATATGTGAGCCACATCTCTGACATGTCTCACCGCATAAAGAGCGCACAGAGAGCAAACAGAGAGACCGAGACAAGACCCTCAAAACTCATTCCGCTGTCAGCAGTGAGTTATTGATCATGTCTCGGTGTTTGTAGCGACCCCAAAAAAGAATATCAAATCCCACGCTACTCGGGCACTGGAACTGGTTGTTGAAATTCCAACACGCCCTCTCAACGACGGTTCCCATCGATGATCCCCATGCCCTTCGCAAATTTGTCGTGTTTTTCGAATGAAAGTCCCCTTGTGAAGATGTCAGCTATTTGGTCGGCAGTTGGGATGTACTTGAGTGTGACATCGCCATCGTAAATGCAATCACAGATGAAGTGCTGCCGGACGCGAATATGCTTAGTGCGTGCATGAAAAGCGGGGTTCACAGCCAGTGCAAGTGCGCCCTGATTATCGCCGAGTATAGTGGTGGGAATGGAAGGAGGTCGGAGGACATCACCAATGAATTCCCGCATCCAAATGGCTTCTTTCGCTGCATGTGTCAGTGCCATGTACTCTCCTTCCATGCTCGACAATGCAGTGGAGGGTTGTTTCTTTGAACTCCATGATACAGCTCCACCAGCCACCTTGAATACATAGCCAGAGATAGATTTGTGGTCGTGAGAGTCTCCAGCCCAATCAGAGTCCGAGTAAGCGGTAAAATCGCCTTCGCGAGTTCCCCCATTGTATATTAGCTTGTAATCCTTCGTTGAGTTGAGGTATTTGAGGACTCGGTTCACAGCGTTGAGATGATCCTTGCCCGGATTTGCAGAATATTGACTAAGCGCACCTACAGCATAAGTGATATCAGGGCGCATTCCCAGCATAGCATACATAATGCTTCCGATGCGGGACTGGTAGTTGTGGGCATTGACTTCAGGGGCATCCAATTGAGGCAGTTTGAAGTTAACTGCAACAGGTGTTGAAATCGGACGAGAGTTAGTGAGACCAAAATGTTCGACAATGTTGGTTATGTAGTGTGCTTGGGAGATAAAAATTAGGCGCCTCGCACGATCGCGAGTGATTTCGATTCCCAAGAACCAATGGATAGGGCCGAGGTCTTTCATCTTGAAGGTATCCTTTAGCTCTTCCTTCTTGGATTTGAGTAACTGGACATCGTTGCACAAGATCATCAAGTTGTCCACATAAAGGGCAATAATACAGAACTTCTTGTTCTGCCCCCTGTGAATGAACACGGCATGGTCCAAATTGCAGCGAGTAAATCCAAGTCGTCCAAATTCCTCTTTGGCCTTCTGGTACCAGGCCCTTGATGCCTGTTTCAGTCCGTAAAGGCTTTTCCCTAACTTCCACACAATGTCTTCGTTTCCATGATCAGCACTTCCTGGCAGCGGTTCCATATAAATGGTATGTTCCAAGTCGCCATTCAAGAAAGCGGTTTTGACGTCCATTTGGTCTATTTCCAGATCAAGACGTGCACCAATCACGAGAAGAATGCGAATTGACACCCACTTGACAACAGGTGCGAAGGTTTCCTCATAGTCCACTTGGTAGATTTGGCTAAAACCTTTGGCCACGACTCTTGCCTTGTAGCGCTCTATCCAACCATCTGGCCCTCACTTCAAGGCAAATACCCACCTACATCCAACGATGTTTCCAGATCCGACGTCCTCCACACTAGCTGGACTGTATGTCCGCATTTCCCTGAGGGAGAGTAGTTCATCCTGGCATGCCTCAAGCCAGGAATCTGCGTCGGGTCGGTCGAGGGCATCATTATAGGTGCATGGTATGTCTTCATGGGCCATGTAAGCATGGTTTTCGCCCTCTTGCTGGGTGTTTATGGGTCCGGATTGCTGATTATTCCGAGTGTAGGAGCTGATGAAATATCGTTCATTGTCATCTCGTGTCTGAGGTCGCTGCACTCGTCCAGATCGTCATGGTTCATCTGGTATCGCCTCTTCTACTGCGTCATTGTCCATCCCTTCTTCAATCCTCCCCTCTGTCCCTTCGATAACCTCATTCTCATCATTCTCCACGATGCCCGTCGCACTTCCTTCTACCTTCTGGTCTTTGATTTCGTCACCTTTGGTGTTCTGAACCACATGTGATTGTGATTCAATGTCAGGTACTTCAATGGTGATGCATTCCGATTCAGGGGACCCTTCGAAGAAATGAACATCTCGCGATTCATGGACCTTGCATGTGTTTGGATCATATACGACGAAGGCCTTCTTGCCGATTGCCAACCCGAGGTGGATCCCGGTTATCGAGCGACTTGCAAGCTTGTTTCTGTACTTATCGGGCATGGCCAATGTGGCTTTGCAACCAAAGGTACATATCATCGAGACTGACGGCTTGTTTCCTGTCCATAGTTCATAAGGGGAAATCCCATCAGGGAGTGTGGAATGTGGAACAACGTTTTTGATGAGTGTGGCATGCCAAAGGGCATAGGGCCAGGCAGTTTGTCCAACCTGGGATTTAACACTTTCAAGCATTGCAATCGTCATAGTGACTAGTGTCCTATTAACATGCTCGGCCATGCCGTTTTCTTGCGGAGTGTAGGGGTTTGTCCTTTGATGGATAATGCTGACTTCTCCCAGATTGTCGTTCAGCTTCTGCCAGGAAGGTCTTGAACGTTTCCAGGGCATCACTTTTGTTTTTGATGGGGTAGACGGTGAGGAATCGAGAATAGTTGTCCACAAAGGTGATGAAGTATCGGAAGTTTTCTCGGTTCACAGCTTTCACTTCGCATATGTCAGAGAAGACACGTTCAAGGACTTTGTCCGATCGTGTGAGTGTTTCCCTTGGAATTGGTGATCGTGTATGTCCGGAGGCCTCACATTCTTTGCAGTATGTAGATGCATCTCCCTTTCCTCCCATAATGTCCATTCCAATGGCCATTCCACTCCGGACCATCTTAAGGATAGAGTCCACTGAGATGTGTCCGAGTCGGGCATGCCAGACATCAATAGAGGCTGTAGCTGTTGTCGTATGGGCAACTTGTGCAGTCTCGACATTTTGGCTTCCATCGTATTTTGTGATGTAGACACATTCTGCTCCAATGATGGTGCATGACAATCTGTACAGTCCATTCATCAAGTGAGCTATTCCAACAAGTTCACGACTTGAGTTCAGGATGTAGCAATTATTGTCTGAAAATTGGATGCTCGACCCATGCTTGGCAAGATGGGGAACAGAGAGCAAATTGGTGCCAATGTGGGGACAGTGGAGGACATCTCTCACGATGGCTTCTCGATTTCCGTAGCCATTGTGAATAATGATTTGGATTTGTCCTTGCCCAATGGCATGGACAACACGCTTGTCACCAAGGTATATGGGATGGGGAGTAATGAGAGTTGTGTAGGATGAGAACCAATCACGGTGCATGCATAAGTGCGATGTGGCACCAGAGTCTATAATCCACTCAGATGAGTACGTTGAGCCTTGTTTCGCAAATGAAACATGTTCTTCCGCTAGGAGGACATCAATCTTGGCTTCCTTTTTGTCATTCTTTGTTGCCGGTTGTCCAGTCGTCGGTTTAGGTGGGCATTGACCTTCAGCTCCACCTCCCTCGGACCAACACTTCTCAATAGTGTGTCCAATTCTTCAGCACTTTGGGTTGGTGCAGCGTGGGCGTTCTCTGAATTTCTTGGGCTTCTTGCCATCTTGTTTGTTGCCTTTCTCCAGTGGTTTCACGGACTTGGCCACTAGTGCTGCAGTCTCAAGCTCTTCGCTTTTGATCGACTTCTCCTCTCTGATTATTTGGCTTATCAGAGTTTCACAAGCTAGCGTTGACAAATCCTTGGTATTGGCAACAGTGATGGATTTGAGAGTTTTGTAAGCCGGTGGGAGAGCTTTAGCAATGATTAAGGCAAATTTGGCATCTGTGATGCTGTCACCAAGAGAGTCCAGTTGCCCGTGCATTATGTGCATTTGGTTGATTTGAGGTTCCAGTGCTTTGGACTCATCCAACTTGAAGTGGTGTAGGTCATGCATCAAATCAGATGCATCTAATGCACCTTGACCCAAGTAGCATTGCTCTAGCGCTAGCCAAGCCTCCTTCGCAGTCTTTTTGTCCTCAGCAATATTGAGGGGATTTTCTTCCAGTGTGAGACATATTTGGGCAAGGGCTTGCTCGTCCTTTTCATTCCATTCTTCGAGAGTAAGACTAGTCATCTGCATAGTGGAAGTGGATGAAGTAGAAGTGCCACTGGTAGTAGCAGTTGCAGTGGGGTTAGGCACAGCAGGCGGAGTGGCAGGGGCACTAGCAGCAGTGGTGGAAGAAGTAGAGGGAGTAGGGGGATCAGAGGTGTTTGATTTCGGATTGACAAAATTCCAGAGTCCCCGATCAATTAGAACCATACGACATCGGATAGACCATATACGGTAGTTCTTCCCATCGTTCTTAAGTTTCTCAATGCTGTGAGTACCTTTAACATC